TCTGTTGTTTATCTTTTTGTGCAATGTTTTATTGAATCTCACTCTATTAAAAAAATCTATGATTTTATATAGAGCATTCAAACACACTTTACATTGGATTATTCCTTCACACTTAGTCGTCGTTCAAATGGCCTATACTATTATACTTCAGAGTGTACACTGCATGTGGTTACAAATCTCCCCTAATGGCCTCTTCCACCACAACCATTCATTCACAAACCACAAATATAAACCACAGTGGCTACATCCAACCCCCACTCACTATTCTGATTATTTCTTTGGTGTGTATGTCATCATCGCAACCATATTAACGTAAGTGAGTGACTCAATTCATTGATTCCAGTTTTTGAATAATAATAAATACAGTCTTTTTTGTGTTTAGATTACCAACAAAGAAAGAGGCAGGGAGTATGTGCGCCTTGGAAACTGTCCAATCAGAGCAGGTGCTACCGGCCCTTAAAGAGACAGGCACTTCCTAAACAAAAGACCCCACTGAGTCTATCTACGGCAGGTCCAAAGATTCAAATATAGCTCACCAATTAAAGAAACAGAAAAATATGAAATGTGCTGAAGAATTAGAATACAAGGCTTTAACTTTATTTTCTTTAATATACAGTTGTAACCCATGATAGAATAAGGTTATATAAGACAATCTGAAGATGCTTGCTTTGTTACAAGCAGATGGTTGTTTCATTAAAACAGGAAGTAGTCGGTATTGTACAGAGGAAGGATGTTCTGGCAGTGTGTTTGTATACAGCACCAAGATGGAGGGCGCGGGGAAGTGCACTTTACTGGACTGTCTTCCTCTGCTCTATCCTCACAAGGTTGCGTCTTTACGTCTTCACTTGCGTTGGACAGAGTTACTTCCTGAAGATGCCTGGCCCCTGTCCAAACTGTCCCCTCCTTATCCCCGTCCTGTGCGTGACTGTGGGCAGTGAAATGTGGTGATGTCATTTTTAAGTGTCCTATAACTGAAAGTTTTGCTTTTTTCGTAGATTACTTGGAGACTTTGAAGAGCTTGAGTGTTTCACTTATGGGGAAACAATGTGGGTGGTTTTCAGATCCTAGAATGAGTTGATTCTATACTCCATGATGTTAGGCAGTTTGCGCTATTGCTCATGGCATTCTCATAACAAATGTCCAAAGGGTAAACTTACACATGTTTAAAGGGCTTATATTGCTTTATTTCCTGATCTTTGTTATAATAGTGTGTCCTCATCACATACCTGGAGTTGTGATTGTTTCAGTCACACAGAAAACACTCTACCTTGTGATGTCATGTGGTAATATAGGAAGACCTCTAGTGTGTTTTTAAAAACCACACACTTTCATTGGAATTCATTGGAATCATTTGGATAATTTCAGCCCTGGAACTGAACAAAAGGTGGAACAGAGCATTCTGAGCTTTGGAGATTGTGGTGGACACCTCTGCCACCACTCCACAGTGTCCATATTTAAATTTAATTTCATTTACATTAAGTTATTTACATCACACATAATTTAATTCCTTTATTTAGACTTATATTCTAATTTGGGTGCACACATTTTAGTTAATATAAGTCTGAATTATTTACTTACACTTGTTCTTTTTGGGGGGTTTTTCAGTGCCAGACAGAGGACTCCCGAGAGAGACATCAATGAATCAACAAAGTGGGGGAAGCACTATTTAGTTAGTTTTACTAAGTTTGTTTGTTTAGTTTGCTTTAAGGTCACTTTAGTATCACTTATTATTTTTTATATTATAATTATTTGCCTTTTTGTTACTTTGATTAAGTTAGTAGTTTTAGTTAATTATTTAGAGTAATTCCCTCCTCTTGTGTTCAGCTTTAGTTGGTCCTAATGTATTTAAACTCCCCTGTTCCTTTGTCTGGTTGGGTTAGTTTTGTTCTGTTCAGTTTGACTTAAGTTACCTCAGTTGGGCCCGGCTTTTTTTGTTCATGGTTTACCTCATTTGAGCCTTTGTTAAATTATCTCTTTTTTGACTTCATTAAATTTAAACTTATTTTTCTACCTTGTCTTTGCCTTTCTGTTTGGTCCACTACACAGATGTAGAGAGACTAATAATAAAGGGTTATTCAAACATACAGTATATGAATGAAACAATACAATGTTTTAAGGAGTTAACAGCATTCTAACATAAATTTTGCATAATATAGGGGCTTTAAGCATCTGACCTGACCCTGTGAACTTTCTAGAAATTCTGTATTTTAAATATGTTCATTGAAACTGCCTGCCCCTTATCTATATTACTGACATGTACTTGGATAATGATGTGGCACCATCTGAAACCCGGCAATATTCCTCACTCCTTTTCAACTGGACTGTCAAAAATGTAAAAATGACTTCTAGCCACAGTTGCCCTGGGCCTAACTGACAGAAAAGTGGTTGCCAATCTGTGCAAAACTTCACACTATATTTTAAATCACATTTTGTTGCAAGATAGATAAAATGCCTTGACAGTGGCTGTTCCTGAATGTATGTACACATTAATAAGATGTTTTAGACTGAATGTGGATACAATATACACTACATTTGGACTTAGATTTTTATTCTTTTTTTTTTTTAATTTAATGTATTTATAGCGTTAATTAAAATGTATAGCACATGTCCTTATTGACCTCAAACCACTGCATGACCCTGAATGCCTATGTAGGCTATACCACCAGTGTTTATATACAGAAATAGTCTTTTGGTGGCTCAAGTCAGCTTAAGAACCTTAAACCGGACTTTTACAAGTGTCTGCTGAGGTGATGGTTACAGTAAAACTCAAAGTAGTTAGCTTCTCATTTAGATGTGAGTAATTTCTACCAGCTGCCTGAGATTCAGATCTGCTCACCATGTGTCTCATTGAAAAAAGCAGCGGACACCAAAGCACTGATTTTATTTTGATTAAAATCGCATTCATCGGGGAGCGTGAGGGTTTTGTTTTGGTTACATGGTCGTAATCATTAAGAACTGATGCCGATTGGAGACATGTAAATATTATTACCGCATTAGTGTGCTGGGCCTCAGTGTAAACAGGCTCCAGGAACACAATGTATGGCATGACTTTAATTACATCATATTGAGCTTGGGCTTTGTTCACTATGTACCTCATCAAACGCACATAACTTGCTCCTTTGTGTTGTACGACAGAGTTTGAATTGAAAATGGCGTATGGTTTAGGTATTGCATTGTTGATGATATGTAAATAAACGTATGTATTGGATGGATAGAGATGCAAAGAGACATGTCACCTGTTTAAACAACCGACAAAAGACCATTCTGGTTGCTGTTTTCACTTTCCACCGTATATTTAGGATTAGATGGGGCATTTGTGGAGTTTGCACGTGCTTTACTAGTCCAGCCAGGAGAAACAGCTGTAAAAACAACATAGTAAAGTGGTATGCTGATACAAACTCAGATTTATAGGACTATACTACACATTAATTCTTTGTTCTCTCATTAGAACTTTTCTGATTCATGTATTCAGTTTTTAAATTATAGTCTGATATCAACACGTTCTACAGGACTCTGAAAATGTGGTTGAAGTATAGGGCCAGAACTGTTCACATAATGTCTGAAATCAATGAGATGTGCCTTGCCTTTGTATTGTTGCATTGTTGTTGCATTGTTTCAGCACTCCTTTCCGGTCTAAGCCCCTTTAAAAGGCTCCTATGGTCAGACAGTGAAAAATAGCACTTGTCCTGCATCACTTTAATGATAATGAATGAAATGAGGTGCATCTGGTTTAACTGTAACTGATGTGTCCATATTAAGATAAATACATAATTCTTTCATGTTTTCTGTTTTTATTTTTGTAAAATGTGGATCACATCATCACTATTACCTAGCATAGATCTTTACTAACTGGCTCCTGTGTCCCTCCCTGTTATCAGCTGTCAGTTTGCCTAGAGCCTCAGGCCCAGAGTAAACAGAGAGTTTGACTGGGGAATCCCGACGACAACTCCAGTCAGGAGCCCACACTGGAGGGGTCACCCGGTCCCTCTGCCAGGGGCCCGCAGCACATGCACAACTGTCCAGGGTGAAATGGAGAGTGCTGAACTCAAAGAATGTGGGCTTGTGCTTTCAGGGCTTTAGCTTCAGGTCTATAGCTGTTGAAACAATTACACTTTTATGTTTATAATATCCATATGATAAACGACAACAGCCACACACAGATGTTGAATATTTGTAACACCCATGTTAGACCTGTTTTTTTTTAAAGCGCTTCAGTCACCATTCACTTTCCACACTGAATGATGGTAGATATCTCTAAAGCCACAGTTGCCCTGAAACTGTTTGACAGACATGGCTACCATTCGGTCCCAACGGCCATTCTGACCACCGACAATCACACACACCACATTCAGGTGAGGAGGGTGAACTATCTTGCCCAAGGACACAATAGCAGCACTGCACAAAACTGGGATAAAATCTCCAATTTACAGGTTAAGAGTACCATACCACCAAGTTTTGTTCTGGTTTGACCTGGCTTATTCCTGGTTCACTTCGAGCTTTTGTAGTTAATGTTAAGTCATGGGCCTGTGTTTTTCATGTATATATTATGTATTCAGGTCTATTTTTTTGTAAGACTTTCATGTATTAGCATAACAGAAGGCTAATTGCATACATAATACTAATTGCATAGGTACATAATACGTTACTATTATTGTTCTTACGTTACTATTATTATTCATTGCTTGTTTACAAATGTTTGACACAGTTGTGAATTTTGTTCACCAGCAATAAATTCCTGTGATCCTGATTCTTACATTTACAGTAACGTGTATGACACACTGAGGCATGAACCTCTTCATGTGCTTTCGGTCATGGATACAGTTGAGAGCCGCTCGAGCCGTGCGTAATGCCCGTCTCGTTATCGTCTAGGCTCCTCCTCTCCTCCTCCGCGCGCCAGTGTTGGCTCCGAGTTTGAGTCTCCACCTTTTATGTAAATCCCAACGAGAGCGAATGAAAGCCGAGGCGGAGACAGCGCTGGGTGAATGGGGGGTGTAGCCTAGCCGAGTCCCCTGCGCTCACAAGGAGGCGTGGGTCTGCCGCTGCCAGTGTTGTGCATCTATCCGCGGTGGAGAGGAGCGAAGAGGCAAGCTACCTTCGGATGCGAACGTGCAATCATGTCACTGGGGCTGGCAGGCTGTGCAGCGAGAGTACTTGAATAATCCCCCTTGTGCGATAAGCGGACTCAGTGAAGGAATAAGCAATGGGAGGACAGATAACGCGGAATTCCTTTTACGGTAAGGAATATGTGGATGTTTTGACCGTGCGCACAGGTGTATGTCCAGAATAAACACTGCAGTTCACGTGTATACAAAATGAGCTGTTTAATACATAGCAAAGAATAAGGAACAATTCTATTATTTTGATTTTATATCTACTAGAGCGTATTATTTGCTCACAGTTACGTCATTTACGTCATTATAATATAGGCTAGCGTTTGGGTCTTGCGGCTGCTAAAATAATTGTGATGTCACCACGTCCACCCATGCGCTCCGACCAGAATCTATTTCCTGGATTTCCATATTTACTCTATACATATTCAGGTTTAGGCCACACTAAAGGAGAATGCAAATGTATGGTATTTCCCTTGGCTATGAGCTGTGCTGTGGCATCCCCCCACTTAATAAACATGTAGCATGCTCCAGCTGTGTACAGCCAAATCAATAAATCTATTTTCCATTGAATTCACGCTCTACATTAATGGAGAATCTGGCTTTGTGCTTACCTTTGTTTTGGCTAAAGTGGTCTATTTCAAAATGGCCTTCTAGCCTTTTAAAACAACAGCCTCTAGATTGCATATAAGCCTAATAAAAAGTGTAGGCTAATGATTTGTGGATATAATAACAAGTTTAGTGGCTTTACAGTCCATTAGACAGACCATACTCTGTTATACTACACATTTAAAGATGCACTATGGCACTTGGAAGGTGGAAGGTCAGACACCTGCTTGTCTCCATGGAGATGTTCTTTCTTTACCCAGACACATGGTCCACAGCAAGACTTAAAATCTATCTTGCATGTTGTCTTTTACTTGTGTTTATGATGCTCAAAAATACCTTGAAAATGTGTGTGTGGGGGCTTGCCTCTCCACAGAACTGAGTTGTAACACCAGGCCTGTTACTGCTGGTCTCCATGGAGATAAAAATTGTATTCTAAACGGTGGCAATAAGGGATAAGAGATGAATACAAGCAGATGGCAGACCCGTTACCAGAAAAATTACACAGTGAGCCTTTAAAACTACAATAAAACAAAGGAAATTATATTAGACTGTAATATAATTGTAGCATTGAAATCGAGTGTACCAGAGTGATATCATAGCGCCTGGTGTTTAATCCCTTTGCCTGCCTTCTGCTTGGACCACCTGATCATTCTAATTACAGCCTCAACATTAATCCAATTAGCGAAAGAGGGACAGGCTAAGACAGTAGGAGAGTGGCTATGTGTGAAATCAAGGTCAGGCCCTGTACACTCTTACTGCTGGGCAGTTTACCTGTGTTGCCATGGCGCCAACTTGCATTGTATTTGTGAAAAAATGACAAAAAGTATTCACATAGGCTTCATAAAATATTATATGTTTTAGTTATTACAACATATAGAGCAGCATAATATATCAAAATGTTGTAAAGTAAGCAAACTTCAGTGTATACTAAATATACTGATTTTTTATGGTACGGTAATGCTTTTGTTTGTACAGGGATAGTGCACAACCATAAACTTAGTTATTGACCTGTCACGACAACAAATTTTGAAGTGAGATATATGGGTGAAGAAAATGCTGATGATAAATGATAATACTGATGACTTTATCCCACTGATTCATAGAAGTTATTAATTCAACTTTCTTCAGCTCAAATCTTCAGAAAAGTACCAAAAGTACAAATAATAGCAAAGAGTTCCCCATTAGCGCAAAGAAAATGTGCCCACGATATTGAAAAATTAAAGTCGATATAGTATTTATAGATTGTGACAGATAGGTTTTTATTAATGCCTAATTTTTAGATTGTTAGTTTCTATTCATTGCTATATTAAACTCACAGTATTGGATTAGATTTTGTAATGTTGTAATTTTGTATATGGCATATGTTCTGCCACTATTTCTATGAAAAGAGACCAAAACCGACATCTACATAGTTTACTGAAAACATTTTGAATTGGAAAATAATTTTGGAATTCTCATACATTGGTGGTGAAGAGGAGAGGTTGATGGGGCTGTTGGTTTTGCTGCTGCGGTGGAGTTCAGCACGTAGCTAAAATGGCAGCATGACTGAAGAATGCTTGGTTTTCCTTTACTCATAACAATTGGCATTTCCTTGTTTATGATAAATACCGGACACAAAAGTGCTCCTACATTAATTCGATATCAATTCTTCAATCAAACTTCCACACATGCTCTAAGTAGACTTGATATAATTTGTTTATAATGTACATGCGTGTAACTATATCACCGACTGGCAGGAAACAAAGTTGGACGCAGTCCGTTTCCTCACACAGTGCGTATTTGATTGAGCTTGTAAACACTGAGTAATGAGGAGGCTTCCCCAGGACACAGGCGGCCAAAGAGAGACACTGCCAAGTTTATTGTAACATGGGCCTGTTCGGATTTAACTCTGTAATTGTTCATTATGGTGTGTTTGTGTTGTGGTAGGAGCCAGATGGCCGTGGCAGATGAGGCAGCAAACCTGGCTCTGGTCTGTTTTAATGCGTTCCTGGCTCAAAGAGAGTTACAGACAGCATGGCGGCTATTTAGACTGTAGCTTTATCCTTAAACTGGGCACACTTTGGTCAAGTATAAAGCTACTCTGGGTGTTGGTGATTGCTTGTAATGGAATATCAAATTTGTGCATAAATAATTGAGGTAGTTAATATTTATTACAGATAGAAATAAATGGCCTTTCATTTCAAATGATTTATTTAAGTCTGTTTACTTGGTTGACATATGTAACTGCAAAAATGTCAATGCATAAACTTTTTTGTGACAACACTCTCTGTGCATTGTCTGAAAGTCGCACAGTGTGACATTAAATACTTTGAAAAAACACATATTCTTACTGTGATTCGCCTTTTCCCCAGACCTGTAACCTGGTTTGGTGACATAAAAAACTGAGCCTTATTTTGAAACAGTTTTGTTTACTTGCACTTCCGCTTATATATACATCTTTGTGTATCAGTGTTCTGTTACATAAAACTGTGGGCTGTTTGTCCAAATGGCCAAGGGAAGTGTTAAATTTGAATTTGAGGTGCTGTGGTTGCTATAGCGACCCACAGCCATTGATAGAAAACCATTGTGTTGTTCTAAAACTAGGATGATTTGAAAAAGCAGCCTCATTGCATTAGAAACTTCAGACAGTATAAACGTTACTCGATCAGTAGGCCTAATATTTTGGGGATATTTGTAGTTTCCAGGTTGTAAAGCATGATGATGTAATGTTTTCAATTGTATAATTTAGTTTTTCTGTTCTGTACTCAACAGAAAAATTCTTAGTTTACGTTACAATATTTTCTAATCTATTTTATAATGTTTCCTTATCACAAGCATCCCTGGAATAGTGTTTTGTTTCATTCACGTACAGTATGTTTTACACACAAATCCTGCAAAGTTCTTTTCTCTAACTGAAAACACTCTGCTCCACCTTGCAATGTCATTCACTAGAATAATTAGGATAATTTGAGCCCTGAAATTTCCAATCTCTATTGAACTAACAATAAAAGGTAGCTGTTAACTTGAAAAGCACTATTTCATGACATCACAAGGTGGAACAGAGCATTTTGAGCTTTGGAGATGTAGGCACACTAATAATAAATTGTTGCTCAAATGTGTGAATGAAACAAAAGACAGCTCCAGGTATGTTTTTTGAGGAGGTAACAGCAACAACAGGGCTTAAAGTTCACAAGTCAGTTTGCTTAACAAAGGACCTTTAAATGTTGAATTTGAATATTAATGTTAGTACCGTATTCTCCCACTGTCCCCATATTAACAACTGACATTTCACATGCCCTCTATCTGAGTTAAACACAGACCAATAGAAAGACTGCCGTGTCATCTGAAAACCATGTATTCTAAGTGTCTCTTATGCACTGTAGTTATATCTTATGCATTTGTAAAGCTGTTCAATGTAAACCATTGTCCCAAAATGAGAAGCTAAACCATTTACATAGAAGCAGTTGCATAATTAAGTCTTGAATACTGTGTGGGAGTCTCCACTTGTGCATCTCTGATTGACTGAATACAAGCCAGTGACTGAGACATTGGAATGCATTTGTCTGGCTCGATTCATAACAAACTTCTTCAACAATTAGTAGGCCACAATAACTTTTGGAGTGTGATCTATTGAAATTGCATATATGATAATAATAAACAGTAATACTGAATTTTTTGTCAAATTTTATGTTACTGACATAATTGCGTTAAAGCTGATCCATGTGGATGAGTAAGACTTATCTTTCCCCAGTGCAGATATATTATATAAGCAGCTCTAGATGTCCAAATAAAGTAGCTGTGTATTGCCTACAACTAACTAATGATAAAAAGTTTTATTGTCTGAGTGTCAGGAAGTACGCTGTTAGCATGCTAGTTGTTAGCATTACCGATATGGCAAAACTCTGCTCTGGCCTCTGAAAGATGTGAAAAGTGCTTTAAAAACTCATTGCAGTCAGTAATTACCTTATACTTGGAATGGATAAAATAATTGAGGATTAACTTTGAACCACAGTTTAAAATTTATTATTTCTTCAATTCTTTAGAGCACATTTAAACTGCAATATTCCTAGAAATATAAGTTAAAATAAATAAATGGCAATATGAATGAAAGTAGTAGAATGGAAAAATAACAAAAAGTTTCCCTCTAGTAGAAAGAAAAAGTACACATGATAAATAGGAAAAAGTGAGGTTCCATTTATAATTTACTGAACTATAAGCAGATATAGTAATTACCATGACAGGCCTATCCAACAGGCAAAATGCATAAACTGATTTTAAAAATGTTCCTTCAGATTCTCAGAAAGATTAAATTTACTGTCATGGGATGCGCCTTGGGTTAGTGGATGTTAAAAGGCTTTGATTTGGACACATGATAAAAGAGCCACTGTCCTTCAACCCAAAATAATAGGCCAGGTTTGGTTCATTTTTCTGGGGTGTTGGGCCTCGTAGACAGAGCGTAAATCAGGACTCGACAGTTGCCTGAGGTGACACAAACATATGTCACGAGTGAAGATGAAATGTGTTACAAGCTGCTGGTA